AAGGATGTAATTCTATATGTAAAAATACGTAGAAAATATAGAATAAAAGTTTCTCCTATGATGCTTCGTTTCCAAGATAATTTTTGAAATCCATTTGACACGTATATAATCCTATGAACAATAAGTAAAAATGGAATGTAATGAACAGACGCGTGTACCAAGTCCTGTTCAGTTGCGAAACCTTATCGCCTAACTAGACTGTAACAACTTTCTGCATTTAAAAAATGGGGAATCGTTGGTTGAAGAATTTAAAAACTTGCAGTAGTCCAGTGAACTAGGTTCATTAATGAACAATTTGTGATTTTGTATTAGATACGGTTACCAAATTTTTTAATTCAATTGTTTAACAGATCGACATCCATACTCTGACATATTCTCGGCAGAAAATTTATAATCAGAATTTTTTCTCAATTTACCGAATTTCCATTTAAATTGTAATCAACGTGATCTCAGGACTGAGGACATATAATACTCACTTTAAATTTGTTTAAATTTCTTTTTAGGTAACACTGTGCACCTTTAAAGTATTTAATGTTCTATTGGTTATTCTCCGTTTACTTTACTTACTAATTACCTCATAAGAATTATATAACAAATAACTTATATATAAAAAGTAACTTACATATGTTATCAGTATGCATGTAACAAATTATCATTAACCAACTCTGGTACACAGACACAACGAATCTGTTTAATCGACGTAACATCGGAAAATCGCGAGTATTTGCTCGAATACAAGAAATGACACACAGATAACTGATTTCCTTCGGTCGACCGGAGACTGAGTTTGTAAGATATACCGCTGTGACTGTAGATGACCGATCTAGTAGCATTACTAGGTCGCGCATATGACGCGGGAAAAGAACGAGCAGGAGAAAGGGAAAGGTAGAGAGGACACCTTCGGTTCTGGCAACGAATTTCGGACTCGTGTTCCCCGGCTCAGTTGTTCACGGGATAGCGCAACGGTGTTTACCGAGTTTCGTGTGTTGGGTGCAGGTTGTATCAACCGTGGATACGTTACAATATGGCGTGTCCCACTTATCCTTCACTCTGTGGATTATTTCTGACGATTTCTACCATTCTACGCCACTTTTTCGCCGAAATAGGACACCTGTCGCTATGTGGATCATTTCTTACGACTTTTACCATTTCTACTGCACTTATTCGTTGAAATAGCACACTTTCCATTATGAACTTTCTTTTTATTCTTAATTCTTTATTAGCGTTTTTCCATTTAGCGATGTTTCAAAATTAACTAAAGAAAATATTTTTACATTTAGTATATATTCTATCATCCGATAATTCTTTCTCATTCTCGAAATAATTGAGCTTTCCTGGAAAAGTACTTTTACCTTTAGTAGTGTCCCTTTCGGTAAATTTTCGAAAGTAATCGAAACGATATTTCAATCATTCATATTACATATTCTACCGTCCGTGTATTTTTTTTTATTTTTTGGGGTAGTTAATCATTTCTTCATGATAGATTTTTATGGTATTTTTAGTGGCTATTCTGGTGAATTTTGAAGATTAATAACAGGAATACTGTATTTCTCAGTCACGTATTTTGGTTATATTTTTAAGTATAGTTGGATTACCTGTAACTAACTAGTCCAATTATTGTGATAACTTGCCGCGTTTATCTACATTAAATTATCTTTGATCTTTTGAGAAGTGGATCCTTTGTTAGCCTTTGTGCCGTTCCACTTTTTTCTCTGAGACAAATTGCTCTTTATTCTGGGTTTCGTATTGTTAGAAAAACAATTGTTAACGAGAATTTCATTATTAATCGTTTCTGCTTTCTAGGAATAAATTACATCTCAATATCTTCCTTTGCAATTTGCGTCTCTTTCAGTGAATTCTCGAAATTTTTAACTTCGATTTCCGTTATTTCTTTTATCCACAATAATGTACCAATGAGAAAACAATATTTTTGAACTCCTACTGGAAACATATCTTTCTTGGTATTTTCATACTGTCGAAATTTTATCGATAAATAAATCTATTATACTTCTTTAGAGACACCTCTCGAGAGAAGCAAGTTGTAATGTATAGGGTGTGGCTGAAATGGCGATGCAAGTGGAAAGTAGGTGATTCCTTACAAATGAATAAGTCAAAAGTGCAGAATGTAATGATTTTGAAAATCACTTGGACACGTAAAATTGTTTTACGATTTGGCTGAATGGTCTGTTGTTTAATTATCATATAAATTTTAATAAATGTACTTGTATAAATTTTCTCAAAATTCAACCTCGGTCAAAAAACTTTGTTCTGCACTTTTTATTTTGTTCTTGCATAAGAATCATTTACTACACGTTTGTATCTAGAAAATTATTAAGTCTTAAAAAGTCAGTCTTTAAAAAATTCGTAAGGCAAGGAGGCTACCATTAAATTAATCATTCGTCCCGTTTCCGTGGTCTCGTCGCGAAAATTCACGTCAAACGATTTCGCGTGCAATTCGTTCGCGAGATTCGTTTCCCCATGCATTAAAGTGTCACAGTTCCCGATTTAATGACGCCACGAAGTCGTAAACGGAGCAATAATCTCCACGGTGCTAATTGAAATCGCACTCTTAGACCAATTAAGATCGCTGCTAGATTCCGGGACTTCGACACTAGCCGTGATTCCACGTCAATCATGCGACAGAATCATGTTACGGGGGTGCATTACGCGAGGATTATACAAGATTTTACGTAACGATAATGACACTGTTTAATCGTGAACAAAAACGTGTTCGAATGGCCTTCATGCATCTACGGGAGACATTAATTAACGTCAATCGTGAAAAAATTATTGGCATTACGACATCCATGGTCCAGAGAAGATACCAGTTTCTGTGAAATCTCGATTCTTGAATCAGGAAAAGACTATTTTTCATATCAGCCAGAGTGTATTAAGGGATTGATACGGGAAACATATAAAATGTCATTTTTTAACAAAAGTGGACTTAATACACTCTGGCTCTGGGGTACAGATATAGGACTCATTAACGCGTTGATAGTCGAATTAGTGAATTATCATTCACAATTCGAACTTTTCGAATAATTTCATCACACTGGTTGCAGAATATAAATGTCTATTTTACTATATGCACGTATGGTCGTTTCAAATGGAATAACTTAATAGTTATTATCATTTCATGATGTAAAATTTGTCTCATTTCTGTACTGGGAAAACTTGTAAGTACTTCATAAATACTACTTCAGCATGTGTTATGATAATTCGATTTAAACAGATTTGTATATCTCTAAGAAACAGGATTTTATTATCACGAATCTGGTGTTTGTTGTTTCGTTAAATTCAAATAATTTTGCGACATACATATGTCAGTTATTATAAACATGTGTAAAATATCGATAGTTCTATTTAATGGTTTATAAAAAGGGATTATAAATAGGGTTTATAAAAAAACATGAAACAAAGAATGTACTTTTTTTCGTGTTTTCGATAATGAATATTCCCGTTTAATTGTTTATGGCATTGCCAGGAGAAATGCGTAGGGAGCTGAAGAGTTCCAGATTCCAAACCGAATACCTCGGAAAAGATTAACTTTAAAATCTGTATTTATTTAAACCATCGTATATCGTTTTGTAAACTGTATTGGTGATAATGACTTTGCATTAGTGCAGACACAAATCATCTGATATATTGACTCTCGTACACTATTGGATAAACTATTCTCTTACTATTCCTTGAATTAATTTGTGCCTGAATTAAAAACGAATCAAGGAAATACACTCTGCTTCATATTTATAACGCACCCACTAACCAGCATTTATTTTTAATCAGTATGGGGGTATTTAGTATTATCACGAATGTAATCCACCATAAGGAGAACATTTACAAATTCACGTTTGCAAATCGATTTTGTGTACTCATAAATCGAGTATCGAATTCCGAGTAAAAATGTGTTGACCTTCACACATCCTAAACCTAATAATTAACGAGATTTTTACAAAATAATTTTTAATACGTACTTACTATCTGGTAGCTATAGGTGCTCGAACTGATGCCTTTCAACTTCAATACAGCGATTTCCATACAGTGATTATTTTGTACATATCTCGTTAACTATTAGGTTTAGGACGTATGGCGGTCAACACATTTTTGCTCAGAATCTGATACTCTATCGATCTACGGTACAAAAAACAGGTCGTTCCGTTAAAAAAAAATCAAGGTGACCTTGAAATCTCTGAAATGCCTCCACTCACAAAAAAAGCACGTTCCTCATAAGATGTGCTCTTTGATGCTATTTAAGTTCCACGTCTCAACATTTTCATTAAGTGTACCGTTAAGTCATTATTCGAGGTGATCAAGTTAGCCCAGAAATCCTGTATTAAAGTGTACTCACTGGAACAACCGAATCTCACAGTCTATTTTGAAAAAATGAACAATCAATGTCAGTGACCTCGTCGTAACATCGTAGTTACGTTAGTCTGAAAGTTGCGTCATAAGTGTTACCCACTTACTCGGCTGTGAAGGATATGATACTTGAAAGCTCGTGGACTATTCTAAACCACTATTTCCTCGTGGATCGAGTAGACCGTGGATAATGACTATAAACCGATACACACATTTTGATCCTTCCGTGGAAACGCCGACGATCGAAGTGAAACAGTTACGACTTTCATCTTCACCGGAGCGATTCCTTTCGCTTTTTTCGGTACTAACTTTCTCCCCGCTGACATCACTTTTGCCGGCGTTTCGGTATCGATTCGTTGTAATCTTCGAAGCACGCCGTTTAAAAACAATTTATTCGATCTGTCACGCACTTTCTCGTTATCACCGTCGTCGTTTCTTCTCGCCCTGTCCTATATACATAATGTTTTTTTTTTTTTAAACGTTTATTTTTGTCTTCTTCACGGATTAGGGAGAACTCGAATCGAATTCTCGGAGGTCTAAGCAGCTGGCGCGCTGCTTTTGAGATTTTCTGGGAAACGAGTCGGTGCCACCCGAGAATGCAGTCACCTTTTGTTATCGTTGCATAACAAACCGGTTAGACGATGCAATCTGCTAAGGGTTCGAATTTCGCGATGATGTCCGCCACCTACGGTCTCCGATTTCTCGTGGTCATTTTTATGATCGCGGCTGCGGCGACATTTTTGCATGTTAATAATTACAGGCCCAGTAAGTTCGAGACTCTCACGATACAACTGTCAATTTACCGATTACGGTTTTAAGAATTTTATTTTTGATTCGGACTGGACGCGGGAATTATTTGTGCAAAAATAAGACTTGACTTTGTTCCCCGTTTGCTGAAAAAATAACAAAAAGTTGTAGAAAATGAGGGAAACTTTTTCAAATGACAATTTTTATAGTTATTGAAAAATGTTCATAAAGACCGTTGACGGCCACTAGTAATATTGAATCTTTATAAATAATAAAACAATCAGTTATTGGGTTGGCCAAATGGTAATGTCGGATTTTTGCAGTAGATGATGCCTCTTTTGTTTTTCAATAGAAACTACTGCTCTTAATTAATAAATTATGTATATATTCTGAAAGCTGGCACTTCAACACGTCATTTGAAAAAAATCATTACGATTAGGTTAAATTTGTTTGCTTTGACCTTCATTTAAATATATTCGTTTAAGGTACGTATTTTTGTTATTTGTACCGTGTTCTTCTTTTTCGAATATTAAAAAGCATAATTGCGCGACAGTACATCTTGTCGTTACACGTTTTCAAAACAAGATGAATTCCAGAAAATTTAATGCAGTAATAATGATTGTTTCTTTACAAATGGCGTGTTGAAGTGTCAGCTTTCAGAATGTGCATACAGGGTGAAGCAAAAAAAAGAGGTCCATAACTTCTAGGGTAGATAGTAATTGCTAAATGACGAAAAAAAGTTCTAATAAACATGGGTTGAAAGTGCTAGCTGAGCAGAGGCTCGGCTTCGGGCAAGAAAGTAATTTATGAGGGGCTGAAAACCTTCTTGTCTTACCATAAATGTTCTGAAGCAGACCCGAGTACGTCGCACTCATCGAGTCATTATTGTATTTAAATATCAGCCCTCATTATGCGAACGCATAAATAGAGGAAGAATCGGTGAACCCTTATAATCGTCCTATACTTGACCTTTTCAGATAAAAGGAATCCTACTGTACTTTTATTACTCTTTATAATAATTGTTGCAACATCACACATATAAATGTTTACTATACAAAGAGCAAAGTTATAGCCACGTCTGTATTAAATGAAATTCCTTTAAGGTCTTCAAATTGCTCGAAATATAATTTACTGTTTCTTTGTTTCTCCTATTGTTCGTTCAAATCAGAAATAAAATTCTCGCAACCACGATTTATTGTACGTGAACGAAAATGGTAACAATAGTAATAGAAATATGAACAGAACCAGCATTTTTACAAACTCTGAATTAATTTTTCTTTATGATAAATGTTTAATGTTTAAATAATTAATCGTGTTAGTTTCATTTGTTTTGTTTTGTTTTTCTTTTTATAGAACAAAGATTTCTTTCCTGCGATAGACCATGTCATCACTTGGACTGGCCCATGATTTGTCGATTGAAACTCACGCTCGAAGTCTTCCAGTCTCTTAGCAAGTATGACAATATTTTCTTTTTTAATAGTACGATCCTTCATGTCGGTGTATTAAATTTATTTTATGTTGTTAAACATCGAATGGTACACATATTTACAAATATTAAATATTAGCCGATGCACTGAAATTAATGAATTCCTGATAACTTTTTCCGTGTTTTTTGTGTTATACATATAGTAAATTATCAATTATTAAAATATGTATCTCAATTTAATAAATATTATACCAGTGACACTATAATCACGTATAGAGTGTACCTGTATATGTTTTCCACTGTATTTCTTAGATTGAAGACACTGTCCAAATAAGTGAATTTTAAGACGAGAATGCGAAATCTTATGCACAAGGTATCGTGTAACTGGTGGTACAATCGGATAGGGGTGATTCTATGTGAAAAAATAAGTCGAAAATATAGAATGAAATTTGTTCATTTGGGACTTTGCTTTCAAGAAAATCTACATCGAAAATCAATGTGAAATGCACGGATTCGTTATGCCCGTAAGTAGAAACGGAATGCAATGAACGGACACGTTAGCCAAGTCCTATTCAATTGCACGCGCAGTGAGAAGGCGTAGTACTTAAGAGTTCCATCCCAATGCGTAAACAAGGAATCCAATTAAGCAGTTATTTCGATATGCATGAAATCCTTCAAAAAGAAACATTATTTTATTTTCTGTTCTCTAATTGTTATATTTAATCAACGATAAACCAACTCATTTCTTATCTCGTTCTTGGTATTCGAAACTCCCCATTTAGGTAATGAATTTGTCCATCTTCGACAAAAGATGATCTTATCGAATTCTATTTATTATTGTATTATTTTATTTATTACTTATTATTATACATACTTTAAACTCCTATTTATACTTTATACTACTTTATTTATTTATTTCGATTATCGAATGTTATTACTGGCTTTCAGAATTTATTATTTCCTAGTCTGTTCAGAAACGTGATTTTCAACTTTAGGCAAGTCGATTCCCTATACTTATTTTACGAGCATGGAAATGGTCTTCTTAAAATGACATTGGCACCTTGTGGAAACGTGTTTTCCTACATCAGGCGTATAATAGCGCCTAATACTCCAACACGCGGTCATTTTTATCAGAATCATCGATCGAGTTGCTACCGTTGTGGTAACCGTTATGCAATTTCTCACCGAGTTGAAATGCGGAAGGCTGTGTTGATCGAGCCGCGTCTACAGCTTTATCCAACCGACGGTTTACCCGTCGGTCTCAGCCTCTATAATTTAATCCGAATGATTTCTTTTTTTGCGCAGGTCGTGCGGCGATTGTCCTCAGAACGAGACGGCATGCCTGTCGACTCATTGCGTGTCAGCTGACGGGCAGAGACGTGGTATCCTAACGGCAAATCGACAACTGCCTGGCCCAGCTATTCAGGTAACGCAAGAATTTTCAACATTAGATCCATCAAAGCAATCGAAATTCACAAACTCTAGTAAAAGTGATTAAAATGTTAAAACAATGGGTTTCACGAGTTTTTTCGTAAATACTATCACAATACAGGGTAATTTTTATAACAAAATAATACTTCTTCCTGAATCAGTCGACATTTGGCGAACAAATGTTTAATCTCAGTATCTGTTTAAAGTTTAGGATGACACTCTTAGGTACTGCAGATTTTCTCTATGTATTATTCGAATAAAATTTTGCTCAACTCTGGTTAAAATATATTATATTGATAAAGAAGAACTTTGTATTCATTTTTCTTCGATACAAGTAGATATCGATACTTTTTTCGATACAAGTTATGAGCAATTTGTGCCGTAAGAGTAAAGTTAAGAGTAAATTGTGTAGATTGTGCATCGTTAAAGAACGATACTTTTCGATACTTTTACGGTATCGGTTTATGCCTAGTACACGGGCATGACAGATGACCTAATGAAATTTACGAACGAAATAAAATCAAGTGAATTACAGAAACACGTGAAAACAAAAACAATTGAAGAGTGCGCCTCTCTGGTGGAATGACTCGCCGTGTCAGACGTACTTTACGCGTATTTCGCCAAACTTTCAACAATTAGTAACTGGGAAACGAAGCCCTGAACGCAAATTTCGTTATTCTTGATTTTTGTCTTAGTTTTGCATGTAGAATCCATTCACTCTGTTATAATAGAATATCTTTCTTTTCTTGGGAAATTTCCTAGTAGATATTTATTCAGAATAATATTCTTTGAAACTGAAAATGTACATAGACACGAATTTATTCATCTTGAAGGAAAATTGTCTAATGTTTTCCTTATTTATACTTTCGCTAGAATCACGACTTTTCTTCGAGTTAGAAAGTAACGTTTCATCGGAAAAACACCTGGATATTAGATACGCTACTACACACATGCAGATTCACCTGGCGTATACAGTTGTCAGATGGAAAACGTGATATGAGTTTTCGCATTAATACCTGTCTTACAACGCACTGTACCCTATGTAGAAACACATGGAATTAACTACTGCACCTGATGTGGGCTTGTGTAATATGAACACGTACCTGAGTAATCTATTACTGATGTTGTAATGGATGAAAATTAGAAATAATTACATTATATAATATTCTGACGTTGAGCACATTGACTTCTGCTTGCTTTATGCATCATGAAATAGAAGACCTGCTACATAATATTGGATGAAATTATAAGGAAACTACATGATTTTTTTCTAAGTTTGCTTGCATTAAAAATAACTGATAACTATCATACTTCATACTAAATAATATCATATTTCATTTTTTAGAAAAATCAAAAGTGTTGCTACATTATTACTTGCCTTCATTCTCCACCAACCTCTATTTTTAAAAAAGAAGTGGCTGGGAAACATTATAATTTTGAACTATGTTATTAGTTTATTTAAAAAAATTATAGGTGATGTATTGATACACCGAATAATGTTTATATCTTCCAGCACTTCTAACACTCATCGTGGATTTACTGTATAGTGTTGTACTACAAAAAATAAACCACCCATCTGGAGCTTAAAAAGTAGGCTTCCCGTCGTCTACGGGTTAATGAAGGTTTTAGATTTCCTTCTTATGATGTGGGTAATTCCAGGGAAAATAAAAACAATCGAAGATGCGGGTTTCGAGATGTTTTCTTTATAATAACATGTTTCTAGACACTTTATCTCCTTCCTGTTTTCGATTCCTCGGTTACATTATTGTTTTAGACAGAAAAACTTTATAAATTATTCGAAAATAGGTCGCTGTAACGAGCAAAACGTGTTCGGTTAATTACAATATCCAAAGACAGGCTTTTTCACTTTTCAGGTTTGTGAAAACGATATCTTGGTGGTCGACGTGATTAATCGGCTTCCGGGTAAAGCTGCCGCGGTGCACTGGCGCGGCCAATCGCAGATTGAGACACCGTACATGGACGGCGCGCCTTTGGTCACCCAGTGTCCGATTCCGAGTTACACGACTTTCCAGTACAAATTCCGTGCCTCGGCCGCTGGAACTCACCTTTGGCATGCTCACGCAGGTAATTAAAACACGAATTAGAATCTTTGGTATCCCCTTTATAGAGGGTGGTAATAAAAATGCAAGACACTTTCACATGGTGGATTCTAGATGGCAAACTAACAAAGGGTGTTCGCAAAGTGATACACACCGATTTTTCCGTGAATTTACTTCAATTGTTTACGCGACCAATTAAGAATTTTGCTGTGCTTGGTTGGTACTACTTTTAGATTGTAAGGGGGAAACCATTCTACGAAGTCTACTAATGTCATATTGAACCACATACACATTATATCTAATGAAATGGAAATTAAATTTGAAAATTTTCACGAAAAGAAATGGCGCACAAAAGAAGTAAATTATAAAGTTTAATAAATGTCTTGGAAAACGTTTCATTAGTTATTTCTGATTGATTATAGACTGTTTCGATGTACGAAATAATAATACTATAATATTAAGTTAGTCGAATGGAAATCCATTGTACATAAGTCGACATACAATATAGGGTGTAACGAAAATGTTGGAGGACCCGGAAATGGGATACTCGTAGGTGATTTGAAGCAAGTTTTTCCTTTTCCAGGAATGGATGGAATGGATCTCTCATTTCCAGGCCCTCCAACATTTTCTTTACATCCTGTATAAATGTCAAATTATCGCTGCATTGATAGTCTTTTTTTAATATTTCTTCAATCACGAGTTCATACTTCTTTTCACTTTTGTAAAACTATTATTTCATTATTATTGAAATATATCGTTTAAAACAGACCCAGCCACCCCAATTCGAAGGTTAATCCGTCGAAGAGCTAATCGTGTACATAATTAATTTCCAGGTGCGGACGTTACAAATGGAATTTTTGGTGCGTTGATCGTCAAACAGGCAGACATAAAGGACCCGCACCGTTCTCTCTACGATATCGATGATAAAAATCACGTGATTCTGGTGACCCAGTGGCAGCACACGGCCGAGACCACGTTCACCCAGGGTCACTCAAAACCGGCGACGCTTCTGATCAACGGGAGAGGACGTCAACCGAATGGACCGAGTGTTCCCTATACAACGTTCACCGTCATTCCAGGCCGCCGTCATAGATTCCGTTTGGCGAACGCCGGTGGTGCTGGAACCTGTCCAATAACTATTTCCATCGACGCGCATCCCCTTTTGCTGATTGCCCTGGATGGGCAAGCGGTGGACCCGCGACAAGTTGCATCGATTACTTTGGCTACAGGTACGTCTAAAAACCTCTGACAAAAAAATCTACGACTTTAAGGGCTTATAGCACGGAAAAATGAGTAGGTTTGGGTCACTTTTCAATTAATTTGTAGTAACGATTAAAATGAAAAAGAAACACACTTTAAATCTGATGAATTATAATTAGTAAGGTCTTACCGTCTTTGTTCCATCATGATTTCATTTTATTATTCTTAATCTTATCTAATCTATATGTTAAATCTTTGAAATTTTAATTCATAACTCTTTGATCCTTGAAAACCTTTGATTCTTCGAATCTTTGGTCGTTTTTTGATCTTCGTATCTTTGAATCCTTGAAACATCGAATTTATAAATCTTTCAACCTTTAAACCTTTGAATCATTTTGATCTTCAGGTCATTGGGCTTTCGGACCTTTGGATCTATAGATCTGTGAATCTTTGAATCCTTGGTCCGTTAGAGAAGTGAAACACAGTTACTATATACTTTTATCCCTTGTAGTTACGGTCCGTTGATCCCGAATAAACTATTTCAAAGTTTTATCCGACGACATTATTATTCTCGTTATAGGTGAAAGGGCAGACTTTATTGTAAAAGCGAACAAACGTGTCGCTCCTTATTGGATGAACGTGCATACATCAAAGGAATGTGGAAGGAGTCCCATAAACGGCGTCGCGGTTTTGAAGTATAAGGGAAGCTCAAGCGGGGATCCGTTATCTGCGTCGGAAGTTATCGAACAGGTCGAGGAGGAGCAAGCGGTGACGAAACGATTTGTCATGACGACGAATCCAGCCGAGAAATGCGGAAATCCCGACAGTCTCTGCGCCATGGATTTGAAGGCATTGCGGAAGATACCGAAACCTCTCTCTGCACCAAGGATGGATGTTACGATACATTTGCCAATAAATTACAAGCTTCAAACCAACGACATGATTGGTACGTAGTTGATAATTTAAATGTCTAATTATGCGGTAAGTAATGTCTGTCTCAAAGCCCGTAATACGTATTGAACGTCTTACTCCGTACGTTTTAATTTCACTTTCACCAGTATGGTCATCACTTTTTCAGATCATTATAATTGAAATAGTGTTTGTGATATAACTAGTCGTTTGGTAAGATAAACGCAACACCGTTGCGGAAAGCTGTAAGACTATTAATTAGAATATCATTAATGTGTATGTTACAAAAAAAATGAAAACACGGTACGAGTGCTATCAATGCGTTTCTTGTTTTGTAATTATTAACAGCAAAGAAAATAGTTTAGGTAACATTCGATTACAGGCGTCTATGGATTATAGAAAGATTGCTAATACAGACCATATGATGGATAACTTTTGTTTTCTGCCAAAAGGATTTAAAGGAGAGATCCTAACTGTTATAACCAGAATTCAAAAAGTGAAATTAAAATGTTCTTTTGGTTGTCAATAACAGTTATCGATCAGGGATATTTTTTTTGGTTACGAATAACCATTATCAATGACAAAAATTGGTTTTGTGCAAAAGTTTCGATAGGTTTTACTTGAAAAATAATTCACTAATAATACTGTTAATTATAATTTAATAATAATCTAATGGAATGCATAATTTTATATATATAATTTTTTATTTTTATGCAGATTATATTACCTGCAGAAAATCCATCAAAACTTTTGCACTGATTCAATATACCATTGCCTCGTTTATTTTTTATTACACTGTCATAAATTCGTTAATCTTATGTGTCTTTGAATGGCCTTACAATACCGTGTCTCGATTTCCTAATGGCACCGTGTTTATCGAGATATTTATATTTCTCATTTTAGTGGATGGCGCAGCGGAAACAAGGGTACTTACCGTGAACAACGCAACGTTCACGTATCCATCGTCGCCCCTGTTGACACAGGGGTCTGACATATCCCGAGAAAATTTGTGTACCTCGGAAGACAACGATGACGCTCATAACGAGAACAAGGAAACTGCAACATTATCATCGCAAAGATGCCGTTTCGGTGCTGGTAACGTAGCCAATACATGCGAGTGTGTTCACGTGAGACGTATACCGCTCGGAGCGACCGTGGAAATAATACTTTTCGATCAAGGTAATCAAGCTTTAATTAGATACATTTTACGAGCAGTTTTTCTTAAACATGGTATAAGTCCAATTTCGAAAAAAAAATGAGTTAAACCTAGTTTCAGCTACAGATAGGTGGTCTATAAGGTTTAGGAGATATTTATCTTTGAAGCCATGAAACTGCTATCAATTCTCCTTATTTCTCATATTTTATAAAATGAACGAGTTAATTAGTTGTAATTAGAAGAATGGTGAGGAGAAAGTGTGCAAGCGAATAGAATCACGTCAAAGAATCGAGAAAGCTCGCGTGTCATCTTCAAGATACCCCATATGTGTTATGTTCTACGGCTTCATTCGTGATGATGAAACGAAACGAGAAATTAGATTTCCAATTACCGCCGCGGTAAACACGCAATTTGCAACGGTTACTGGGTCTATCGGTGGTTAAACGCAACGAAAACGTCTGTGGTGCTTAATTGATGATTCAATCGCCTCTGACTACGCGTGCTCCATGTATAAAACAGATTGTGGATGGTGAAATTTATTAATTATCCGATCGAATAATTCCTCTGCTGGACAGGGTAATAACTAGGGGAAACCAAGGACAAACTAAGCAATTTTTCTTTTTAAGTCTGTAACGTTTAAAGGTAGTAGAATTTAAAAAAAAATTTTATATGAATGAGCTTATTATAAAATCATAGATTGCTTGAGAAATTAAACAAGGTTAGAAATAGTAATAATACAACTTTATAAACCTGTTTTATTTACGGGATACTCATTATTGAAGCCATGGTGCTTCTGTTTCAAATAAAACAATATATTGTTAATGTTATGCGGTTTTTGCTGATAGTAAAATGTTCTATGAGATATTCAGGTGCCCTTCTCAATATTTATGAAGAATCTTCTGTTTGGAATACCACTTGCAATTAGCGAAACGACTTGGAAAAGTCTGGTGAAACAATCGGATTAGCTCACAGGAGGGTAGCCCTGAATTAAAGACCTTGATCTATATTCCAGCTACTTGCGGAGGCTGGAAATATTGATCCCAACTTGATTCCGTCAATAAGAATTACTTTTCCGAGAAAATATGATATTCTTCTTTAGCACATTATAGAAAACTAGTTACACCGCTTCTAAAGGACTTTCTCTACCATTTCATTTTAAACTTTCATTATATTACTCTAGTATTCCAAAAGATATCCGATGAAAATTTAACGCTCTGTACTTAATTCTGAATTCATATATTATGAGTGCACTATGAATTTTATGTGTATTAGAAACGGATGTAAATCAATAAATATCGGTAATATAATCAGTGATTATTCGTCACTTTAATAAAGTTTATATCATAAGTTTTAATAAAAAAAATCATTCACTGACACAAGTTCCTATTCAATTCTTATTTCCTGTTGTCGTCTACTTGTCAAAAGAGGATTAGGAGAACCTACCATTCTTAGGGAATATTCTATTTCCACATTTATCTCAGAAACTACTCTTCAAACTGTTTCAAACGACTTCAAACGTGAAGCAAATGATTTGTAATTTTGTATTAAAAATTTATTTTTCTCTAAGGTGGTCTCAACGATCTGGTGTATCACTTACACGGATACACTTTCTACGTGGTTGGTGCGAGGAAGTTCGGGCGCAGTGTGTCGTTGCAGGAATTAAAAAGTTTGAACAATAAGGGACAACTATTCACTCGGAATCTCGATTGCACGATAGCCAAAGACACGGTCGTTGTACCGAAATTCGGCGCCGTGGCTATTAGATTCAGGGCTGATAATCCAGGTGAGATATGCGTTAATTTTTGGTTTCAAATAAATAATGAGTAGACTGCGGATTTTATGCACTTAGAGCGTTTGTTTGAACTTCAGTATATTGAGAAGTTCAATTTTCAGGATGGTTTTTATTTTATGTGGGATCACGTAGAACATTCGGCGTAGTAAGGAAATTTCTCTTTCTTTCGAGTTTCCAGGAATAAATGTTTAAAGACTGATATTTGCATAAAGATCCGTCAGTCTAATAATAAAATTACTGTTAGGACAATTCTTTTTTATTCTCTGAAAGTATAGCGTGCGTATAAAATACCTGTTACAGTAATAATTCTATTTATATAATTTCTAACGTGACCAAAGTTATACGTGGATTGCGGTTTTTTAAACCAAATGAAATAAAAACGCCAATTAAGTTTAATAAAGCCCTTTTAGCATTGTTAATAGGAAAAAAATTCTAAAATGAACAAGAAACTTCTATTCGAGAAATGATTTTATACATTATTTTCTAAATATTTTAGTTTCCATAAATTTCCGCGGTAGGTTTATTGATTATTGATTTTAATTTAGGTTATTGGATGCTGCGAGACGAACACGCCGCTGATTGGACTCGTGGTTTAGACGTGATTCTACAGGTTGGGGAATCTAGTGATATGCCACCCGCTCCAGAGGACTTTCCCAAATGTGGATCGTTTGTTGGGCCTGACTACTTCCTTATATAGACCGTTAATTACTTAAGAATTATCTGTATATAGGTGTAAATAGATATATAGAGACTGATAGTACATATGCATAGGTAACTATTGCATTTCATTTTTTTTAATAAGCAAGTTATGTATCATTCCTTTCGCTGATCATTTATTAATATTTTTATGGAAAGAAGGAACCTTTTGAATTTCTTTGAAAATCTTTAAAAGTATAAACGAATGAAAGAACGTATGTAAATTATGTGGAAATTTGTATTTCCATTTTCTAAATGAATATTCTCATTATACTGTATTATTATATAGTATGTTATTGCTTCATTAGAAGATTTCCTATGAATAAATTGTTAACCATGTCTATAAAATTAGTAAAGCTTCTTTTAAGCTTGTTCTACTTTAAAAATTGTCATATCTTTTTTACAATTACATATTACAAATATCTTACGTACATGTATTCTTACAATAAATGCTGCCTTAACGCTCTTACCATAATCTGAACTATTTTGCAATTATTGTACCTAAGAAATAATAGTAGAGTAATAATATTATCGAAACACTCCATCTTATCTAACAACAGAAAATCCTAACAACTTTCCGTTCAACCCAATAATAATTCTTGACATGTACGCAATATCCGTGAAAAAACCGTAGTTTCTCTGCTCATTTTGTTGAAAATATTCTTAATATGTCGTCCACGGTGTTCTCAGATTATCTTTAAAATTTTCGTAAAACAAGGGAACGTTGGTGCCGCGGTTCATTTCGTCTGCAACGTCACGTTTCGACCGCCCTCCAACTATAACCATCATTGCGCCAACATTCGATGCAGGCGTGAATAAACTGTCCAGGATCAGGCTGGCGTTCAGCCTTCACAGTGATGTCCTGCCAGACCGCCCTCTACACGCAAACAGTGACCTTGCTCTCCGTCCCGCAGGAGATACTTCTTCTCCAGCACAAAGTTTTCCGAGAGTATGCGAAAATCACCGTCGGACCAGACTTCATACACACTCTACCGTCCTTCATGATCCTGGCTGCGCTCACGATCGTCCTGTGGAGAAATCCACCTTCGTCTAACAGTTTGGCCCACGTTTTCGGCCCACCGCTTTACAAAGCTCTTCAGGTATCACGAGCTGCGTAACCGAAGTGTTATATTAGAATCGTTAAATTCATCGACATTAATTCCATCGTCATAGAATAGAAGATGTTTCAGTGCTTTTAAAATCGATTAAACAGTTAAATAGTAATCTTTCTTTGTGGAAAGATGAGAAAGTTGGAATACGTCGTTTGTAATTTTATTTAAACTTTACGGTAAATATTTACAATAAGGAAGCCACCTCCAATTTCGATGATTTTTTAATATGTTGTCGAGGTCACCATCCTGAGTTGTATCGTAAAGGTTTTAGTTGGGGCTTGCCATTTCTAAAAATCTTATTATCAAAAAAAGTTTAATATCGTATTTTAGTAATACAGCAATGTCTACATAAGTGCGACGAATTCAGGTCCGCTTCGGAGTACTCGTGGCAAGGTGGAAAGGTGTGCAGTCCTTCATCAATTTTTTTTTTGCACCAGCCACCCAATGGTGGGAATAACGCCGTTGTTTGTGTCGCATTCATCGAGGAATCACTGTATTAATAAGTAAAATGTCCGATGACCTTGACCTTAACATATGTTTTGAAGGTCATCCTCCTGAGCCATCTTCAGAAAGTTGCAGTTATCAAATGTTGTTTATTAAGAAGTTATTAAAAGAAAAATGATACCCTTTCCTTGAACGGTCCCTAACCAATTTTAAATGACTTTTTTCTTGAACTGTCTCTATCCAACTCTGAAGCATTATATTGATCGGAATTGGTTGGAGACAGTTTTTTTTGATAATAAATTTTTTACAAAAGACGACCTGCAACTAAAACCTTCACCCTACTACTCCCTTATTCTAAATATTTACCCACTTTACTTTCTTTTATTTCATTCTTGAGCTGAAAAGTATATTTTCATGGTGAACGTTGGGATTTTTGTACACATAAATTGTATACTTTAATTACTTGAGTCCGGATTATCGTGATCCTGAACACTTACTGTGGTCGGTAACTCTGTCCCTGATCGATAAAAATACGTACGGTGTTTTGGGAATAAAAAGCATTACAATGATTTTAATACAACCCGTCAGCTAAGTCGATTTTAAAATAACATTTGGTACGTTCCTGGTTGAAGGTCATGGTCGGCTGGGTAGTCGCTATTACTGGCTTATGGCTCTGGCTGATCCTTCAAAGGTTGCTGTATTGCTGCGTCTGGTCCTATTGGAGTTACGTGAGTAGAAGTTTCATGAGCTGTTCATAACTCGTTCAGTCATTTCATACGATTTTCCAACGGTGATTGGAAATCACTGGATACTCTGAGATGTGTTCCAAGTAAATCCGTTTCACCTTGTGTACGGAGTTTCGCGATGAAATGGAATTTAAGCGTATCAGTGAATTTGACTGGGGCAAGGCGTAGTTATAGAAAGATTTTACGAACAGTCTGTGTGTAATAACTACTTTACAATTTATTCCGTAATAATCCATACAAGAAAATGTTTATTTCACCAGTTAAGGGTGTTGTTGAATGAAAATTAACATACACATATGTATTTAATTTTGAAAGTTCATGTGGCATTTATACATGCATCCACAAAATTTATCTTTGTTATAGTTTTTTTTTTCTAATAAGGGATTCATCATATAAAAAATTAAATAGCATAGTTAGCAAGAAGGAATTCAAGTTTTTCTTTGATCGAGCGATGTATGTATAAGTTTAAACGTATTTCATACAGTGGGTAATCAAATTATTAGAGCCACCTGCATAAATTGACAATTATTCGATTTTGACTGTATTATTTATAATTATATCAGCTAAATTTTATTATTTAGTATATTTTTACTGAATAATTGTTAATTCAAATTGTGACTTTATTTCCCCAAAAACATAAAGAAAACACATTTTTCGCACTCTAATAATTAGACCACCAACTGTACACTACAGTTTAAAAGAGTACACATGTTGTTAAAAACTTTTATTTCGCACAGGACTTCGAGGATCGTGACATTTCCTATCAGTGGTGGCAACGCGTTTGGTCCTCGTATTATCCCCCGCCATTGCAACCGCCAGTGATGTCAGCGGGTTTTATTAGCTGGATCCTCTCTATGTCAATCGCAGTGCTCACTCTAAGTTGCGCACTTTCTACGAATCGAATATGGAATTTTATCACGGATTCTGTTGCTGAATTGCGGGTCGCGTTAGTGACGGTGAAGCATTACGTAATCGCTCATCTGAAAAGGTTATTATAAATTTGCCATAAATCGTGCAACAAAAAATTCCGTTTCATTGAAGAAAGTTATTATTTCTTCATACCAAAGAGAAATGCGTCATAGCAAGTTTCTTTTACAGAGTGTTAATAAAAATGTTATCGAGGGTTTTTTATTATCGAGCATCGGGCATCAGGCAAACAATAGATTTCTGAAATGGTGAAACGATCTGAGATGGTGAACAATCCGCTAGCTAACAATAGTCAAGATTTTTAATATTTTATCATTGCAAAAATAACTTTCTGTACGAAACAAAAATTTAGTTAAAAAGAGCGATCCTTTACGATTACAATGAAGAACAAATCAAGTTTGTATCTTTAACAGTCCCGGAGACAAAAATTATTCCATGAAGGTAGTTTTCGTGAAAAATCGGTGAATATAAATAATTTCAATATCAGCGTAAATGATGACTCAATCTCCCCCCCTATTTTCACATCGCTATAACATATTTCAATTCGAGCAAAATCCCAAACATCGCGTACAAAAAAGATCCGCTCTAAAAGGAATGACCCATACAAGATGGCGTTCAACAGCGGTTAATTATAGTCATCGTTAGCACACACCAAGCCCTGGACATTGCGTGACTATACTCACCCTTAGTAACGAAAGGGTTAAACAAGCTATAAGTACACAATGTCCGCAATCCATATGTCAGGCACATTCTTAAACATGTCTGAATAACATCGAATATTAAGACAATTAATTGACACGTCGATTTTAGTATTTCGTCCCGTAAAATTTAGAATGCTGACGTGCCTGTTGCAACATTATTGGTCGCAAGAACTGCCGTCGATGAAGCCAATCGTGCCAGCGGAGAGCGAGGCGAGCTCGATGTGCGACGACTGTCGATCGGAGATCTCCAGCGACATCCACAATCCACCTCGAATGGAGATACATCCGGTGTCGTACGGGACCAATTGGACGCCGAAACCGTGTTTCTCCGGTTACAAGGAACCGCAACGGAAGGTCTCGATGAAGTCGTTGCACACGGTCGCTGTGGTCGACAACGTCGAGGACTCGGACAAGCTGACGCCTAAGCAGCTACGGCACAGACGGGGCTGTCACACGGTGATACCGAGTAATTCCAGCGACAAATCGAGCGGCTGCTGAAAGAGCTGGCCCCTGTGGCAGGCTGCGGACGCGAGTGGATCGCGTGTTCGGAAACGTTAATCGGCCGTCGGTGAACGGCCGACCGTGTTTTAAACAACGGAGTGGAAATTTTGGCTCGACGATTTTCTGGGTCATCGTTGGCACGTCGTGAAACGAACACAAAAAAATCGTCATTTTTTATCGTGGCGCGGGGTACTTACACGGGGAGCACCAAGGTCGGGTAATTGTTGTTGGAACGACACTATATGTATGGAAGTTGTAGTACATAAATACAGGGTGTAACGAAAGAGTTGTAACTTTGTATACCTACAGTTCCTTGGGAGATATTCCAGCGGGTCCTGTTAAAAGAGACACCCAGTATATATGCCGAGAAATGTTTATGGCTGTATTGCGTGTTGAATGCGTGCCGATGAATTACCTCCGATGGAAATGGTGACCCATTTTAACGTACAAAAAGGTGTACAGGGTGTTCCAAGTTTTCCACGATAAACGGAGAAAACAAAACATTATTATACGAGGCTCCAAAGTAAACGCTTTGTAATAGAGTGGACTGTGGGTTTTATAGCAGATGCAATGTGATAACACATCATAAAATATTTAAGAGAACAAGTAAGAAAAATTAGACTTTAATCTTCTTTAATTGAAAGAATATTCAAGGGTTTACTGCTTTCGTCTAATAAAGCTATTACTGGAGGAAATAAATTTTATTTGCATATAATTTTTCTGTGAAAAAATTTAAATTTGCATAAGTTTCCACAGTCTATGTATGTAGTTGTAGGTAAACGTGAAATGAAATGTAACATAAGTAACAGTAAGTATTTCATTGTAAATTACACAAACTTGTCTCAGTGAACATGGACGATATTTTGAAATTTTAGTATTTTAATGAACCGTTTACCGTGACATCCCTATTATCAATGTTAACTATCAGTCGAATTGTATCATTTCGGAATAATGCGATTGATTTTATACATTTTACAATGAAGAACTGCTATTATTTGTTTCACGTTGCGTTTTACATTTGCTTTCGACTGTGTAGTAAAGCGTTTCCACTCGAATCTTATATGAAATTTTTGGTCTAAATTCCACTGGTAAATTATCTTTTTCTAGTCGTCGAGAAAAGCTTGGAGCACCCTATAGAACTTGATAAAGATTGGCGGATTGAAAACAGTGATTGCATGTGTCTTGCAATCGTTACACGAGGTCAGAATTTTACGTAGAAAGTCAGTCAAATTGAGACTAGATTTATGTTTCATTTTGTAGCTTAAATGGAGAACGTAATGAGTGAATCTGTATAATTTACTGAAAAATTCGAAAATCAGAGGTATTTCTAACCTTTTTGTTTAGCCTTTTTGCTTCAAGCGTGAAGATAATCTTCTACTTTATTACTAGGTTTTATTAAATAATATAGGATCTTGGAATCTTTATAATTTGAAGCGAAAATTCGTAGTTTCATGTGTATACGTGCAAAATATTATATTACTGATATATATTTGATCAGACACACTTAGATAAGATTTTTCTTAATATAATTTTTGTACAGGATAAATACAGATAATTTTTACAGGAATGAAGTCAATTGTTTTTCATTTTCTAGAAAAACTATTTCGTGAGCAAGAATGAAATTCTATTTTCCATTTTTTGAATATTGCTCTTCGGGACGATATCGTTTCACGATTATATTATTCTTTCACACAGTGATTCTTTTAATAGCCATTCTATGTGATGTCTTTTATGTTACTATAAATACAACGGTGGTTGCAAATTAAAATTTATAAATACTAGCAATTACCAGAAAATTTCTAAAAACTATCTTGAAGTTACCAGAGTTTATCCATCACACGCTTAATCTCAAGGACGCTAAACGTCGTCGCGCAAAGACCGTATTATTCAAGAAACAATGTTCCCGTCATCCCTTCCGATTATTTACCAACGAAGAGAACTTCCGAAGATTCTCCAACCCCCCTGACAGTTCGGTCGACCTCCCTAGAGGGTAGGGGAGGGGTACTTCTTTCGTGCGCATGCGTTCCAAAGGGGGTAACACTCCCCATCTTGCAACGGAGCATTATTCTGTCACGACATCCCTTCTGGTGTAGATCGACACGAGGTACACTTAACGATCCGACGCGCAATAAAATTTCATTAAACAGTCGTAAAGTGCGTTCTATTGTCCCGTATTGGTGCATCTTCGACTCTCGTCTAATCGATTCCTCCGAAAAGCTCAACGATCGCGTCTAAACGCAACGAGGAGGATAAAGGTCGATGATCTCTGGACGCTCGCTAAACGGGCGTGAACAGATTGTTTTCTACCGCGAGAATCCGATCGATTCGAAGGATGTAAATATCAACTGTGAACTGCATTAACACCAAGAAAACTGTAATCTTAACGATCGTTTCGAAGAGAATTTCTTCAGGGAGATCGACGTCGATCTCGTGGCCAACCAGGAACGTCATAATAAGGTACGCGTCGATGTTCATTCCCATGAATCCTCGAGTCTTACCCTTCTTCGACGATCACGTCAGCTTCCAGCGAATGGATGAATATATATTTGGTCCTTTCGATGCTATTACGATCAACGTAAACATACCGAGCTCGTTTCTCGACGATGGAAACAGATATTTGAGTCTACGATTAAAGGCTTTTTACGTTCACGTGCATTGTCGTAACGTGACAGAAACCTTGTTATTGATTTTGCGTTCAGCATCCGTAGCGCGCGCGCGAGTGTTTGTATACAAGTAAGGACGCTCACGCGCGCACCAACGTGTGTACAGTGAGAACTGCATTTACTTGAACCGGTTGGGGGATAGAAAAGGTCGTATATTAGGAGTTCAATGATTTTACCCCATTATCAGTGTGTTTTTGTTTTCGTGCGAACAACCGGAGTTTACGTTCGAATATGTGGATTCAATCGTGCTTTTGCTCGTTCCTCTGATTATAGTAATTAATAGATTGCGAATTTTTAGGCGAAATTATATTTTCTAAAGCATTTCGTACAGAGAAAAGAAAATATAGGAATTTCTTTTTTTTCTCAAGTATTATATTGCATTCGTAATAAAGTAGAAAACCCATCGGATCTGATGAAAGTTGGGTCCTTTATTGTATTTGACAGACCCTTGTAGGCTATAAATTCATAAAATTCTCAGTCTAGTAATTAATAATGTTTCAAATCCTATAAACATTGCAATGAAATAGAGAGAATAATAATTTCGTAATGCTTGGTAAATTAATTCTCAATTTGTAAGAAAGATAAATGTATTTTTGATTAATTATAGAGAAAGGTAATGAAGTTTGTTTAACCCCCGGTTGTTACACTGGGTCGAAATGACCCAAAATTCGATTTTAAAGTAAAATATCTGAGGTATCACTGAAGATGGTACTATTGGCGCCATGTAGTAGTAATTTCAAGTATCCTAAAAGTATTTTTCTTCGGAACTTCTTTAAGAATTTTTTTACACGTGATATTTGTTTATTAAATTTTACCGAATTTTTGCGACTTAATTTAATAGACAGTTTTTAAACAGCATCTGATTGAAAGCTGGCTTGGGTCGAATAACTCAATGTGACAACAACGTTCGAAAAAACAGGTGTGACAACCGAGGGTTGTAGATTTCATAAAGCCGTGTTACTTCGAATTTTGCACACATTGCAAATTTGATTCTGGTTTTGCTTCGAATTGTTTAACCCCATGCTCTACGATTTTCTTGAGGTCTGCAGACTCCAGGATTACATCGTTGTCGACAGTTTCCCAGAAACGAAAGGAATTCGGTACTTCTTACAATTATATTTTTCCTGTAAAAGTTAGATATTAATGCCAGCGACGTGGTATTTCGCGTCGACTCAAAAAAAACCCAACAATATTTTTCATTGTTGATTCGATTTTGAAATCGTCAACACGAGTTTGACTCGATATGATAGGACAAGGCGTTAATGGTTGTATTTAATGAACAGAATGAGTCAATATGTTCAGTAAATCGGGCAATAATTAAAATTTCGTTTCAGTAAATGGAATTCTACTATACTTATAGAGTATTATTTATACACATATTATGTGCGGGAACTTCACACGTGTACGGGTAACGTCGACACGTGCTCCCTCTCCCGGCCCCGTTGAATCGGTTCTACAATAATAAGGGTAGCGGGCCGCGTGTGTTAGGTAGAACAGAATCACTTTTTAACGTTGGGGAACTTTTCATTCAAAGCTGGTTTTGGGCCTGCGTGATTGGAGATTGAATTAAAAAGACAGAGCATTTAGGAGCAGACAAAATTTACAGTAAACTGAAGGACATAAAAAGAACTAATTTTAGTAAAAAAATTAAAGAACTGATATGTTTTATTTTTTTTAATTTATCTATGGAATGTGGAAGATGTTAATTTTTGAATCATAGGAACTTACGTCTATCTTCAACTACGAGCCTTTTTAATTATTCACATTAAAATAGGAAACTTTTCGCGCATTCTCATGATGAAAATGAAAGAAAATAATTTACAAACACAACGAACGTCCACCAAATAAACAGTAATATCCTGGAAATTAATATACAGTAATACCCTTAGGAAATTGGCTGCAGTAATAAGTTGTTTCAGTTTTGAAATTGTATATTGTTGATTTGTTTGATCTGTTTTGAACAAAAGCTTAGCAATTGAAATCTGGGGCCCGAATGAATCAGGCTTTAACGATGATAATGGTCACAGTGAAAATGCCAGGGGAATGGGGATGTAAATTGAAAAGTCTATTGGAAAAGTAATCTGTGAATGTTATATACCGTGGTTTAACACACAATTGCATGTCGCGTGTGATCGTATTATCGATAATCAAATTTATTACTGCGTAAAATGCCATTTCATCCAGTAAACGAAGGTCACCTGACAATTTTCAATCAATATATTTGTTTTAATCATTGAAACCATTTTTGGTTAGTATTTTCTTAATTTAGCAATACTAGGTAAATTTAATAATGGTTACTTTCTTTCTTATTGGATTCGGATATAAAAAAAATCACTCAGGAATAAATAATTTACTTAATCAATCGACATACAATTGTTTACGAATTATATTTTATATATTTTTCATTTGACGAATCATTTTTAAATATTTTTAAATTATGTTAATGGATTTGAAGAATACAAATTCATTCAAGATATACATATGTAGAAACCTAGATAATATCTCCAGGTACTGCGTTCTACGTTTAAAAGGCACTGTAAGATGAAGCAAAAAGATTAACAGAGAACAGAAACTCAATATATTCTCTGTATTTTGCATGATTCATAGTTTTTTGTAAACTTTACGATAAAATCTGCATCACGATTCTCGTCTATTTATTTATCGATTCTACTTTCAACAACGAGAGACACTGGTACCCATTACCTCGAATTTCCTGGAAACTAGGTGGTAATTTAACGTTCCAGCTTGTTCGCATGTTAGAACATTCAAATCGAATTCGACGAATCATGCAATGAAGCTATCAAAAATAATTTATTATCAATTAAAAACTAATTTTGAAAGTTTATAAAATCTCACAGTAACTATTATAATGAAACTTTAAAAGTCGTAGGTACTCATAACGAAAGTACTCGTGCTCCTTTATTAATTATTATTGATAGTACAATTAATATTTCGTGGAAGTTCTTCTTTTACGAAACAATGTCTCGTTAGATCATTCAAAATTCAACTGCAAATTTTTGTACGATTCTGATAAGAATGAAAATTGAAATATCTAATTTTAACCCTGCTATTTTCCTCAGATATTCTTTACGTTTATATTCCTTAGAATGAAATTATTTCAAATCTTAAAATGATTTGTTCCTAAGAAATGAAAAATACAAGAAAAAAGTAGACGTCAAATTTAAATACCTTGGATACTAAAACCGAATATTTAAAAACATAATACGTATCGAAATGTGATCATCATCTCGAGCCATGTCGACCCGAGGAGACCAGCAGAGTTAATGTCATAATTTTATTAAAACAAAAATACCCTCCAACGTTTTTAATTTACGAAGCAAAAGTTGCTCGCATAATCCTATCGTCACGAAACGCGAGCAATAAAGACATTACGCAAACATGAAATTGTTACATGATCTTCGAGTATCGCGTGTTTACTCGACATGAAGATGATTCAGCTTGCAGAGGACACTTTTACGTAACTGTCGGGATTATAATCGATTATCTTTGAACTAGAACAACGGAAGCAACCTTTTGTGGTCGTATTCCCCATGTACCCTGGGGCCCAAGGAGAGACTCTCTGTTTTATTAGATCATAGAGATTCTAAGCGATAAATCATTTTTTCGCGATTGTAGGAATCATGGCTGAAAAGATGTATTATTGGGGGGAGGATAGAGACCAGGTGGATGCGGACCAAGCCTTCATAGAGTTCAAGGCCAAGTCAGTCGGGTCGGAGAAGAGGAGAGAATCATCGCGGGCTGTTCCGAAGATGACCGTCTCGTCGCCGCAGGGCAAAGTGACGGAAGTCGGGAACCGAGAGGAGGACACAGAACGGGGTGGATGGGACAATAAGCTCGACTTCCTCTTCTCTTGCATCAGCGTGTCCGTGGGATTGGGAAACGTCTGGCGCTTCCCCTACTTGTGCTACAAAAATGGCGGCGGTAAGTTCAGGGGTTGTTTACGAACATTATAAACATTGCGTCAGTGCAGAAGTTTTAATTGGTCTTGCTCTAAAAGAGTTAACTGATAATAATTTTAATTGTAATTTAATAACAAGACTGTGCAACAAAATTTGGAAAATTCTAAAATTATGCAGTGAAACTGGTTATATTTACTCGACTTTGAATTATTGAATACAAAGTTTATACCGAAAGGGTAATAAAATATATCAAATTTTATAGAATTTTTGTCAAAGACATTATTTTTATGTGCTCAGTATATTTGCGTATGTACAAAATACATAAGTCTAATGATGACACAAAATCTTGCGAATGTCTAAAATTTTATTGAACTAACGTCACTTTTGTCAGGATTCGTTAACTCCATTCACGCAAGAATGTCAGGCATATTCGTCCTCGAGAAACACAATGCCACTGTGATTATCATTCATCCTTCTTAAATTATTCGACTCGTTCAGCTATTGTTAAACTGGATGTACCGATCGTACACAATGCCATGAAAATGGAACGGCAGATAATTATACGTATCGGGGGTCACACGGTGTTCATTAGAATGTTCCTAATATACAAGGATAATTGATTATGGTTAACAAAGATACGGATGTGCGTCAATAATCAAGTATTCGAGTTGCGTCGTGCCCCGTACCGAGTAATTAAATTGTGTGCACAATGCATCCGTGATGAATACACATTCAATGGTGTATTTGAGCTATGTGGGTCGAACCATATCAAAATCAATGGTCAATTGCAGGAGCGTTTCTTATCACGTATGGCATCGCTATGGTGTTCTGTGGGATTCCCATCTTCTTCCAAGAAGTTGCTATTGGTCAATACCTCGGCGTTGGAGGGATGACCCTCGTAGGACAACTGTGTCCTTTGTTGCAAGGTGCGTTATTTGAATTTAAAATAGCTTACCTTTTTTATGGGTAAAAGTAATAACGATAATCACATATTGTGATCTTAATTATCGTGATTTATGCTCCAACATTATTGTAATTAAGTCTCCTTAATTTTAATAGTGCTGCCGTACTCAGTATTTAATTTTATAATCTTTTCCAGGGGTTGGATATGCCACAATGACGATTGTGTTCTTCCTAGACGTGTATTATTGTATCATAATTGCTTGGACACTTTTCTACCTTATAAGTACCTTTGTGAACATACCTGGGGTACCTTGGAATGGCTGTGGTTAGTAATATAGTTGCATAAAATTAAATAGAGAGGATGCGAACGGTGATAATGTTTGATTTCGATAAAATTTCACATAGGAATTATAATAGTTTCTTTTAGTCTCTGTCCCTTAAGTATAAACAGTCTTCCAAATAAGGGATGGAGACCACATTTTGTTAACACATGGAGTGACACATAATATTAAGTCAGTGCAACAGTTTTGGTGGATTTTGGCATGAAAGAATAGACTACTAGTAACGTTAATCATAATTTAATAATAATTTTATGAAATACATAATGATTCTGAAGAATAATTATGTGCTCGGTTGCATCATCTGTTCTCATCCATCCTATGTAACTAAATACAGTTTCTTAAATTTCTTTATAGACGGTAGTTTGTGTTGCTAATGGGAAGTTTCATGATTTTGTAGGCAATTGGTGGAACAGTGATAAATGTTACGATGCTTCCAACTCTACTGATCATTTACACGATGTGAATGCTAACAGTACGAATTCAATAAGTAATAGCACATTACATCACACCACACCCGTCGAAGAATATTGGGAGTAAGTAACAGTTTTGTAGATGTAAGCATTTAAGAAATTATAGACGGTTAAATTGATTGTGCATCAATGAAGAAATCGATTATATGATAAGCACACACATTTAGTTTAAGAAATCGATTTTGTTACTTTACGATTTAATGTAAGGATTAATTCTTTTGGGACGAACATCATTTAACGTACATTCCAGGAATCGGTTTTTTCTGTTTTTTTGTAAAAATCAAATTCAAGGTCCATTCGACAGGTACTGACACGATATGATGAATTAATAGTATCATGTTGAAAGAAGTTTTTACCAGTAACTTCAATTTATTTTATTGTGTTAATTTCTTTAAAAAGAATTATTTAAGATAATCTCATTACTACAATCGTACAAATGGAATTTCACGCGAGGTATCTCGAAAACGCGATGAAGTGTGATTCCTGAAACTCGTGACGAGAAGGTGTGATTAAAAAACTTCGATAATCGAAAAAAAAAAAAAAAATGGACCGCGACCGAGCGGAACGCCGCGTGGTCGGTTTTTGCGTGGCCGGACGAGGAAGTATCCACTGTCGGAAGACATACATTTCCCGATAATTCGTGATATAACTTCGAAATTTTAGACGACGAGTTCTTGGGATCACCTCCGGTATCGAAAGCATCGGTGGGATACAATGGGAGCTGTTGGGTTGTCTGATTGTCGGCTGGCTGCTCGTTTACTTTATCATCCGGCGTGGTTGGGCGCCTGCGACGGTTTGCTATACTACGTCACGCCCAGATGGAAGGAGTTGCTATCGCCCGGCCCATGGATCGACGGGGCCACGCAAATATTCTTCGCGTACAGTATTGGTACCGGAGCTCTGCCTGCTTTGGGGTCGTACAATAAGTTCCATCATAATTGCTACAAGTAAGCATCCCCCAGACTCTACTAGATTTCTCACCAGGTGTATACCGGGTGATTCACGAGAAACAGAACACCTGAATATCGTCGTTAGGATTGAAGACAGAAGAAAATATAAAGTTGTACTGTTAAAAAATTTCCTGATCGTTGTTGTCTTCAAGGTTTCGTGGAGCTCATCGATGGTATTTTAAATTGAACTATATATTTTTAATTTCATAGAGTAGTAACTGATGTCAAGATGAGTTCGACAATGTGGTATATTATGACCTTCGAATGACCTTGGACTAAAAAAATCATCATATTTGCTTTCGAGAACAGTACAACTTTCCTTTTCCATATTTTCTTCTATGTGCAATCCTAACGGAGATATTTAGGTGTTCTCTTTTTTGTGAATCACTCGGGATAATAGTAATGGCCGCTTTTGCCGCGAAAAATCTTGGCTGAACTTTACTTTCTCGGGAAAGTAAAGTTTAATCGTTTTTTTTTGTTAACGAATGGCAGACGTTACACAAAATATAAAGGAATTTATAGCTGGGCTTAGCACGCGAACGTTTTGGTCATTTTTACTTATTCCTCCAGTTGGATGAAGTGTACACTTTGCGGGACAACCTGTATATGAAGTCAACTTGGTGGTGCACACCGAAATCTATGAAAATGTGAGTTTTGTCTTCCAGAGATGCACTGATCACTTGTATAGTGAACACCTTGACTTGTCTTCTGGCTGGTTGCGTGACCTTCTCCATATTGGGTCACATCGCTTCCGAGCAGGGTACCGAAGTGTCCGAAGTAGTCAAAAGCGGGCCGGGTTTGGTGTTTCTTACGTATCCCGAGGTCGTCCTGAAGCTTCCTGGCGCTTCCATGTGGGCCATTATCTTCTTCGTCATGCTGCTCGTAAGGAATAATTAACTTGAGCGACGGAGTGTACATAACGCTTTCTCTGTGATCAATGTTTGTTTACGAATATTGTTCAGATTTTACATACACGGTCTGTTCATAAAGTTTGCGAACTTTATGTGTAAATCATTTATTATTCATTTTAACACTTGGATGACCATGATTTCGTGATTTTTGAGATGGATTCAGTGCAGTCTTTTTCTATTTCATAAAATACCGAGAAAAATTAAGCAAAACGTGCCGATGTTATGGGAGTGGGATTTACGCGAAATATATAGGTGTGAAGTTACACTCAATGAGGGAAGTGTGTGCTGTCACGAGAATGTTACCAATAATTACATAGGATCACCTTCAAAGTAATTTCTTTCTGCCTATATACGTCTTTGTATTGTTTGCAGATCTAGAAAGGTTTCTCTGCACTTAGATTTGAATGACTTGCAAGATTGTAACACGGTTAAAGAAATGGGAATATGATTGGGTCAATGAAAATGGTTACAGCAAGTAGAAGTAGCCAGTATTTATCAGACATGTTTCCTAGTCTCATTCAATCGAGTGGAGAGGTACTCCCAATGAATTTTTAAAATGAATGTTTTTGCTGCCATAGTATTATATGACAAAAAATTTCTTATATTTTTAATTAAAACTAATAGGTATAAAAATAAACATAAATAATCAACCCATTTTCTCATATACCATAAGTCCCATTCTACTATATACATATGTATATTCGTCCGTATGTTTGTTCAACGTTTTCAAAAGATTGTCAGCTATTGAAAACTTATCTTTGAACATACTTTTAAAAATCACTGTTGTTCGGTTTATTACAGATACTTGGAATCGACAGTGAATTCTGCATCGTAGAATCGTTTATTACTGGCATGGTTGATAACTGGCCTGATCTCCTTCGACCACATAGAAACAAGTTCACCATCGCTATCTGCGTTATGATGTTCGCCTTGGGAATTCCTATGGTGACAAATGTTAGTATTCCAATCTTTGAATCACGCGATTACATTCAATTCGCATTTCAATTAATCAAGAAGAAATTTATGAATTTCAATTTTATTCTATGAAACTGTTCATGAAAATAGTTAAAATTTTACATAATAATATTGTGTAACAAAACCAACGAAATGTACAACTTTTGCTAGTTTAAATAACTTTACGTGTATAGTGTCTGTTTCAGTCTAGAATGTACTATTTCTGAACTAGTCAGTATTTACTAATTATTATTTTCTTTTACTATATATTAACTATAAGTCATTATATTTGACAAATTTGGCTATATTATTGCAATTTACAATTCCCATTTAAAGGAAACATTGAAGACCATTAAATTTTCGTTTTTGAGTTAAAACGAAGTTTCTCTTTTCATTTCTCATCACATCACCAAAATTGATCTACATCGTTTGGTGCTTCTTCCAGGGTGGAGTTTACATATTTCAACTGATGGATTTCTACTCTGCTAGCGGTATGTCGATTCTTTGGGTCTGTTTCTTCCAAACGATTGCGATATCGTGGATCTTCGGGGCGCAGAAGTTCTGTGACTGCATACACCAGATGATGGGCATACGAATGAATAAATTTTGGTATATATGCTGGGTGGTGTTCGCGCCAGTAATCATGGTCGTAAGTATGGAATTTATATTTCTAACAGAAACTAACAGATGACTGAGTTTTGAAGTTTGAATTGAGTCGAACGAAAAGTGCTGGAATCGATTTATTCTGATAAAGTTGTAGTTCAGCATTTGTAATCATACAGATACATCTATAGTATAGATATTATCTCCTTGTACAATATCCTATATGGGTATAGACAGTAATGCTCTTGTTTTTGGTAAAAACACGATGAAGCTTCATGATACGGAACCGTCACGCGTCGGATACGGATAATATAAATCCACCTTAATTCGTGTTTTGCAAATTTCATATGGTAATTATTTCTCTCACAACTAACATATTTCTACAACCGTTAATCCAAACAATTGTGAAATAATTAAACACTTCTTTCATTCTGTATATTCAGCAATATAAAATTTCACTTTTAGTTCGAAGAACATTGAATTTTACAATTCATTCTGCTACATTTTATAAAAAAGAAACACAAATATTTCATAAATTTCAGATTTGATCCCACCTCGTTAAATTATTTTTCTTTGTTCCAGTTTATCTTTGTATTCCAATGTGTACAATACAAACCATTGAAATACGGAAGCGATTATGAGTACCCAACATGGGCGGAAATCGTGGGAATGTGTCTGAGTTTGTCATCCATGATTTGGATACCAGTTTACGCTCTCTATTACGTTCTTGTAACACCAGGATCAATAAAAGAGGTGAGACACATCCATATAACAATGAACCACGTTTATCAGTACTTACTATAAGAAATTAAATTGTAATCCATTTTCTCATTGTCGCTTTAATTTTAATTTCGATGGTTCATCGTCGTCGTAATTGCCGAAAATTAATGGAATAATCTTTCTCAGTCTTGCAATTCTTATGTACACTAATACAGTTTAACTCCTTCTGACCTAAACTTATGTCTTTTACACAGAAAAAAATATTTTTTGCACATAGTTGTTTCTTGAAAAACAGGAAAATTAAAAAAAATAAATTAACGAAATAGTGCATAAATATAAAGGAATATTCATTAAACAATTCATAAATTTTATTTTCAAGAATGTATCCGTCTAACGGCAAAAATTAAACAATGCGATAGAATACCATATTGAGTCTTCTAAATAAGTTAATGATTCCAAAAAGGAATCCTACAGTCGGAAAGCGTCTTCGAAAACAAAAAAATGTTTCTCATCATTTTCAGAACATCCTGAAAGGCTTGAAGCCAAACATAAAACTGCATCCGAAGTTACCGAAAGGCGAGAAGTCCGCAGTGATACCGATGTCCGAGAGCAGCGCCGGTTTAATCACTAAAAACAACAGTTTCCTGAGTCAAACATGATTCGCGTGAATAACGTTTTTTTTTCTATTCCTAAGTAGGTTGTAATTGCCGTAACTGTAGTATTTCTAACGGGATTCAAGACACGAGGCCGGTTGGTAGCGAAGAGTGATCGTTCTATCGTCGACCAAACAGATTTCAAACATTTCTCTCGAAACGACTCAAAACGACCTTCTCTCTATTCGTTGTTTTTCTTCACAAGTGACATTAAGGATACAAATTTCTTTCAATTTCGATAATAAATCTGCCTACTATATCATCTGCAAAAAATCCATCAAAACTTTTGCACTGAACTGATGTTTCAAGGTGTAAGAGAGACTAGCAGCAATACATAAACCCCAGTCAATAATTCACTGTAAATCAATTTCATTCAAATCGAAGTTCGTAGTGCGTTACCTCCAAATCTTATTCTTCCCTTGACTCTCATAAATGGATACTCCGACGGTGACTACATCGTAATACTTTTAACAATCAACTGAATATTATTTTTCATAACTTCTTCTTCCATTACTTTGCTTACTGTAAATTGAAGGTACTCAAACGCTAGAGCTTCCACAATTCTCCGTTAGATTGTGCCAGTGAAAGAAATATTAAAATTCCGTCTCTGACACGAGTGGTCTATAGTTAAGGATTAAAATGGATTCACGTAAAAAAGAAAAAATAGAAATGGTGAGATATCGACACGCGAAGGTGTCCGTTGGCAACGAAACAATAACGACCGCTGTAACCAAAACACCGACCTCGTTCCTCTTATATTAAATACTGGTACCATGTAAAACATGCTTAGACAGGAAACAAGGCTGATGGCGGAAAGAAGTTAGTCGACAACGTCGAACTTAAGTGCCACGATAGCGAACTACAGGCGCTAGTTTTCAGATGACCTTTTACGAGGACGAGTCGAAGATGTCTATTTTTTCATCGTGATATGGCTCGCGATGCTCGTACAACAGGTTATTGAAAGGGAACATAGTTTAGTTGACAGCTTGGCTGGTTTTATGCGAGAAAGAACATATTCTTAGAGCAAAAAAGCACCGACAAGTTAAGGGACGTATTCACTGCGTATTGTTTGCGGTCTTGGATTAAAATTAAGGGATTTTTCTACTTTAGCGGTTTTAAAGCGTTTTTGTTTGAAGGAAACTAAAACTGAAATTTCTAGAAATTTTTCAAAAGATTTGTAATTAACTCTTAGCGGTCGGAGACTTTTCGGCAGAAGTGGAAGTGCTGGTCGTAACGCATTGTAACAAGCGGAGCGACATGTCCGTCTACTTTCGTTACGATCTTGCGTATCACTGTCACTAGATGTAATCAATTGTCTAATTTTCTTTCTTATTCGAGCTATATTACTGTCATCAGAATAGTCACTACAGAAATTGTCATCTTTCTCATCTATCACTGTATCTGATGACAAAGAATATAATTCAGAAATATATTGAGAAGTGTAACGCTTCGATCGCTGCATGAATCGTTCGAACATTAAAGGAAAAAACGAACAATTCGAAAAAGAAATATTCCTTTGAATTTTCTGAAGTAGCAAAATTTCGTACAACTTTTCTTATTGTTTGAATGTACTGCTCAATGAACAAAATTTTGCGATAAATTCAATTTACAAAATTCACTTTGCTCAGAATTAGCAATTTTTATATCCAGAGAAAAATTCTTTTAACGATTCATTCGACAGATTTTTCTAATTTGATGAGAAATATGTTAAATTGCTAATAAAATATCGTGTCTCAATGGAATCGCTGTCGCTCGATTTCTAACCAAAACTGAAAGCAATGAAAATAGCAACACATTATTTTTACCAAATTTTATACTATTAGGTGTACCAATAAATAATCCATTGTTCTTTTTTTTTAACAAGATCAATATTTATTTCGAAGAAAATTATTCGTCAGGTTCTTCAACAATTTGCACCACATTATCGAAAAAAAAAACGTGATAATAAAAATTTCAAATGTGTTTTTTTGTCGAAAGAAAAATAGTGGATTATGATTAACAGTGGAATTTATGCGTTCATGATATATGCAAATGTGTAAGATACAGTGATAAGATAATTGTAACGTGAATTACAGCAGTCTCTGTTTTATTGTAACTCTATGCATTGAATTATTAGCACATATATTCCGATCTTACAATTAGTTCGTCTAACTGAAAGGCTAGAAGGAGGTTCGCCACCTGCCAAACAGCTAATGGAAATCGAAATATGGATAAAACACAGTTTCGAAAAAACAGTGGATCACTGTACAATGCCCTGGTACACCTAATGTTTTATTTTTCGAATTAATCGATGTTAAACGTTTCATAGCGATGGGGTTAAGGAAAATGTTCAGTTGTAGCCTCACAGAAACTTACGATTACACAGCACTTACTAGAGATTAGCAGGTCGAGATACTAATTTCACTCTTTGTTACATGAGCCTCGACCCTCTGAGGGTTCCTAAAAAAAAAGCTGGTTTCGAGCGTAGACGTTCACCGAAGATTTGTAAATCCCATGTCGATGTAAGTTTATAGAGGAATAAGACGATGCAGTAGTTAGCCTCGTCGGGAAATTGTTATGTAAGCGTAACGTTGCGATGTGTTACGAAGGGACTATTCAGTATTCATTATTCGAGACCTCTCTGTCAGTATTTCGTACAAGTGAAATTCTAACGACCAATTAATATTGTTCAACAAACAAAAGGAAAGTTTATCCGATCGGAAAAAGAAAGTTCGACCACGTTTGGTGGGATTTATTTAAAAAAAGACGAAACATTCAGTTCGAATTTAGGGATTTGTGTCGCTAGAGAGGAATACTATATTCTATCGTTTTCACTGGAGAGATTGATCATCGTGAGTATTTGGACACGTGACGCGAGAAGGTTCCATCTCAGCTGTGTCGATCACTGTGGTGAAAACTAGACTTCCTTAAACTAACGATCCCTCTAATCTTTTTAATTCGAGACTAATGGCGAACGTCGTATTGCTATGAAACGAGACATTCTTGTGTTTCTTTGGAAATTTATTGAAAACTCAACTATTCAACGTTTATTTTAGCAACATTATCGCAAAATGTATTAAATACGGTTGGTCATTTGTTTATTTTTCAAGGCGTCTATCTGAGGTGTGGACTTGAAAATGTTATATTCGACGGTTGTCTTGATGTGGACACGTAGCATAAACCGTTTATTCTTGATTTGTATTTATTACCCGGATGCACAGTTAGTTTTCACGCCTGTAGTAAATATAGATGAGGTACACGTGGCTCATGAGAACACGCGAAATTGTTTATTTCTTTTATTCTGGCCTAAAGTTAATGCACTTGGTTGTACGAGATGCTTCAATGATCTTTGCCGGTCCTAGCAGAGTACCATATGGCACTAATGAAATAAATCATTGGAGCACTGTGCACAATAATTATGACACACGAAATTAATCGTAAAAATGAAATAAGGAAAACCAAGTTTCTCGTGATTCAAGGAGCAAATATTAAAGCGGGCCTAAATACGTTCGAGCGTTTTAATTTATAATTTAATCGTATATAAGCTACAAGCGACTGGTGTATACTATTTACCGAGTTTTAAAACGATTGTTGATGTTGTACGATATTAAGAATTGTCTGAAAGCTTTATACGACGTTTGTTTATATTTTACTGTCCCATTGTTATGGCGCAAGTACTTCCAACAGTCGCGCCTGCTGTGAATTCACGAGATAAGTACTGTCGACCTTTACGTGAAATGAAATTCCATTTGATTTACATTAAATGGAAGATTATTTAATTCCTTAAACTTTATAGTACTGTGCTGTACACAGAAATTTGAAAGAATTAGAAGCAATTGAACATAATTTCATTGAAATTATTTTATCATACAGAATTGAGGGTAATTTATGTTAATAATAGTTTCTACAATGAAATTTTAATTTATCGAAGGTAATTTTGATGAACTAAACTCACAATAAGTGTTTCAATTATCGTATTTTTGTACTAACGGTAAGAATAAGACCGTTAACTTTTTTACGTTTCTTAGTTCGGTTAAAAAATTTTAATTATACATCTATGGCAAAGATGAATGTGCGAAACATAATACAGCAAAAACTTTCACGAAAACTAATAAAGCTTCTATTTCATTTTGAACCTACATAGAACCTTTAATAAAAAAATTTATCTCTATTTGAATTAGTCTTTTATCGACCAATTTAGAAAGTGTACTGACATTAGTAGTACAACGGAGGAACAGGTGAATGTACTTGTAAAGTAAATAAAATAAATGGAAAAAAGTTGAGTCACAGAAGTGTTCGTATTATCCTGAATCGTTGACTTCGACAAATCAATATTTTTTACAAGATGTTATACACTTTAACGTCCTTTTTCGTGGTAATATACACTGTTTTAACCAAGCTCACGATTTCTATAAAATTGATCGAAATTTTAGATAACAGTTGAGTGCAACAAAAATATAAGTTTAAGTAAAGTATCGTAGAATTAACGTCACAAATGTGTTTAACTATTCTGTAAAAGTATTTAAAATATTTCTAAAGTTTGCATACGGTTAAAATACAGGGCAGACTGGATTTGTGAATGCCTCAAACAACTGGTGAACCAAACTAACCTAAACGTTGACTTTCTCTCTGAATTTAGTTTCTAAATATTCTTTTATCTCGTCGTTTCGAACTACGGTTTTAGTTCTCGCCCTTCCTTTTCCCAGGCTACATTGTTTCTTTTATCGGAACGGTTTTCTCTACATTACCATGTTTCGGTTTTTAAACTTTTAACGAAACTCTATGTTGTTAATGCAGTAAAAGCGGAATTCAGCAAGCGAAGAGAAGGTGATGCTATATACTACGATAGTATACATATACTATAAACTATTACTGATATGAACGCTTCCTAATACTACTTGATATTACATTAAACAGATACTTTAGATTAAAATAATTGTAAATAGTTTCTATAGATGTTTCCAAACGAAACATAAAAGTATTTATAAACTTATCATAAAAAGCTACAATTTTTTTTTTAATAAATT